GGTGAGTTAAAACACAATTTACAGAGTACATCAGAAGCGGCCAACTATGCTGCACTCTTCATTCTGACATATGAACTAGGACAAAGAGTCAAGGGTATGTAACTCATTGTTGGACCTCAGCTTCTCCTTATTTTCCCCTTCCTAGCTGGCAAAGTGGGAGAATGCAGGTAGAGCCCTGCGTGGAACTATTTTTTTAATCCTGCTCCCATCCCGCAATACCCACTCCCATATTGTTTCTTGCATTTTTATACCACTCCCACCCACAAAAAAAACCTTAGATCTGGCAAATCCCACAAGAGACAGATTCCCCTATGCTACTAAAAAAATAAAAGTTGGTTAATATTATAAACAAACAGAATTCAGATGCAATTTTTACCATTAAAAAATAAAACAAATCTTGCTTGTATCATGTAAAAAAAAATCCTTTAGCTCCTATTATAATAGACATCAAATCTCTATTTATCTCTTAGATTTAAGTATTAAAACATTTAAAAAGAAAAATTTGCTTTACATTAATGAAATTCTGTTTATGAGAAAGAGATTTAGTATTTTCCCGCAAATTACCGCAATCTGTTTTTTTTGCCCACCCAATCCGACCCGCAACAAAGTACATTTTACTTGCGCCTGCTATTATGGCAGCAGGTCCTGTGGCAGCCTTTAGATCCCAGCCCCGCTATAGGCACTTTTTCCAGGTCCTTCTCTTGGATTAGAGCCAGTCAAGCATATTGCTCTCCCTGGAGATGCCACAGCCTAGCAGGGAAGTAGGTCAGGGAAAAGCCCAACCTATCACTACAACTGATGAGAACTAGCATGAGGATGTGTACTCAACCAAGGGGAAATCATACCCTAAGCCTGTAACGAATACACGGTCCCAATTTCAGGAAAACTAAAGCTATCTGCTGTTTGTGATGTTTATTTGCGATCAATGAAGGAGGGACATCAAAAGCATAGTTGTTCTGAATCGTAATACACGCTGTTCAGTTTCTTCTGTACAAATCAGCCTCAACATCAAAATATGGATTCATTACTTGTAGAGCTGGACCAAGAACAGCAATTCTGTTCTGCAGAGCATTTTGAGATTAAAGAAAAATACAATTTGGAAATAAAATTTTTTTTCAAAAATCTCTACGAAATAAAAGCCCTTTATTTTGGAAAAAAAAATTCAGATTATTTTTTTTTATATTTTCTAAACAAAATTCTACCTGGTGGGCTGAAAGAGACAGTGAAAACAGCTTAAGAGCTTGGAATCTGGTGCCCCCATGAACCCCTGAGTATAACAAGGATCTGTGAGCCTGTAAGCCCTAGGGGTGCCAGCTCAGACCAGGCTTCCAGGCTCTCAGTTCTGACCACCTTATAGGCCTCTAAGGAGCTGGGACTCCCATAGCTCCCTGATTCCCTGGAGCCTTGGACTCTAGGTGTATAATTATACTGCAATTAAAAATCCGTGGCTGGCCCATGCCAGCTGACTCGGGATAAGGGCTTGTTTAATTACAATGTAGACATTTGGGCTCAGGCAAAAGCCTGGGCTCTAGGACCCTACAAGATGGGAGGGTCCCAGAACTCAGGCTGCAGCCTGAGCTCAAATATCTACACCACAATTAAACAGCACTGCAGCCCCTGCCACGCAAGCCCAAGTCAGCTGGCCTTGGCCAGCCGCAGGTGTCAGACATACTCTAGAAGCCCTGAGCTCCCTGGGATATCTGCTTGCAGGTTGCACTAGAGCTGCAGACTCCGAAAGCTCAGGCTTCTTAGGAGCCATACAGACAAGTTGGCTGAAAACCTCGTTGGGTTCTTTCAGAGCTTCACTGAAATCAAACCTGGTTTCTGAGTCCCATCAAAATCAAACCAATTTCAACTACAGATGCCCCCCAGGGTTACGCAAACCCGAGTTACGCAAATCCGCACTTACAGAAAAGTTCTGTAAGCTAGAAATAGTTTTGGTTTTGTTTTTTTGTGTAATGGTTGGGTATATTTTTCCGACTTACACAAAATTCGAGTTACGCAAGGCGTTCCAGTAATCAAATTCCATTGAAAAAATATTTTGTCACAATTTTTCTAACAAGCTCTAGTTAATTGCCTTTTCTCTGCATAAATCTGCCAGTTATTCCATACTTCATTCACAGTTATACAGTAGATGCCACATACTAGCAACTTACTGGTGCCAAGCAAAAATTTACTATTATCTGAAAGCTGCCAACAAACAAAAGGCCCATGCCTGAAACAGCCAAGGGGGAAAGCCCCTCAGCCAGGGACCTGCCACTCATGCAGAAGGTAATTAGGAACTCCTGCTGAAGTCTTGGTGCTGAAGGCTGGTAAGGGAGCAGCAGAGAAGGTAGTACTGAGCGCCTTCGGAGTTACACAGTACCTCTCCCTACAACTCTCTGAGTTGCAGCCTACCCTGTCAATAAGCAGTGTGACAGTTGCTAATATATGAATCCAATTAACATTAAAGTCTATGGGATGGGTTCTTGACAAAAAAATTGCTAATAACCAACAATTAGCTCAGCTAATACCAGCATCCAGGCTTAATTTACACTTTAAAAATGCTAAGTTTCAGTTACAACTTTTTCTTGAGGAATACTGGTATATACTTTGTTTGTTTGTTTTTTTAAATAAACTATATACAACAACCTGTAGTTAACTGTCCTCAGCACATCACATTATACCTAAGTAATGTCTTTGTTTTGGTCATCTTGCATCATAAGCTTACCATTATTCAAAAACCTTGTGTATACATTTTAAGCGTATAAAGTACATGCACTGAAACTCATACAAATCCATATAAAAGCTATTACTGAACATGCACAGAAAACAGAGATAAATACTCTGTTTTGAAAACACCAAAAGCAATGGTTACAAAATTGACTGCTGATCTGTATTAAAATCAAAACTGTTTGGGTGTCATTTTTTATTCTTGCATTACTTAGTTTAAAAACAGTAGAAATCATCTCTTTAGAAAAAAAGGTCTTAAAAATGTTTTCAGGCTGAAACTTGTTGTGGCAATCACATTGTTTGATTTTTCTATACTGAGCATAACATTCTTTAGTACATATCTCCTGTTTCACAGCACATCATCACTGTTTTTTTCCTGCAAACATAAGTCCCAATCCTGCAAGGAGCACCACATAGATTCTGCCTTGCAGAAATGGAACTTGGGATCCAAATCTGCAAAAGTGCATTTAATTTTTCCATATAAGTATTTCCATTTAGCTCAATGTGACTACTCATGCAAAGTTACACATGTAAGCATTTATAGGACCAGACCCATAAAGGTATGCTATATGAATTATACTTCTTATAGCATTTCCTTGCCCAAACAAACCTAAACCACCCCCAATTCTCATATTAGTTAAGTAATCATTCAACTGCTACAGAAATTTTTTATACTCAACTTTCATCATCATAATATGCATTTGAACTCTGGGTGGAAAGAACACATGATACATGCTCACCCTCTATTACCAAAATATTGCAATTTATTTCGTTTTTAAGCCTGCATAATGAATACAAAAATGTAATATTTCAACTAAGATAAGAGTTTTAGTTAGGAAGGGGGGAGAGGGAAAGATTCAAGTACCATGGAAGTCCCTGGTGTAGGAGAGTCCTTACACATGCAGTTTAAGTCTTTGCAGGATCAGGACCTAAGACACTACTGCAAAATTTTCTCTGTGCCCCTTTTTTTAAAAAAAAAAAATCAATATTAAATAATATTTACAAAAACAGATTTTTAAATATCTAACAAAAATATAATAAAATCTTTAATTGTAGGCTTAAGAACTTTTAAAGAAGTTTAAAAAATTAATTCAAGGTTAGGGAGTATCTATCCTGCAAAATAATAAACATTCAGCCCACCTCCTGAGAGAAAGAAACAAAACAAAACCAGTTGCTGGATAAGAGAAAGAGTGCTGTTGAATGTCTGTACATCAAAGGATGAATTCCCTACTCTATGGGACGGACTCTTATGCTGTTACTTACAGGTGCCTGAAACCTAATCCATCACTTCGAAAGTGAGTTGAAGGTAATCAGAGGCACACACCTACCTGAGCATCTGTGCTAACTTTTTGGGTGTTATGATCATGCTTTCCCTCTCTGGTTTCTTGTGAGAAAGACCCAGATTAAAAGGGAAAATTGACCACACAAGAGAAAACAGGGACATTGACTATAAAAAGTGTTATCGAATGCACAAAGCCAACTACCTGAAAAAAAAAATCTGGTGTGGTCTAGTTCAACGATCAATAATTATAAAGGGCTAGAAGTAACAACAGCAGGTAAAAATGCTTTTAGGCAGATGCGTGTGGCTCTTATATTGATTGTTTCCATGTGTGCAACACACGTGGAGTGACTGTTTTAAAACTCTCTTAAAAGTTATTCCTTGCAAGGAGAGCCCGAGTTCTAAGCCCGCAGTGTGCGGCTGCCTCTGTCGGTAACTAGCTAGGTGGTATATTTCAAGCCTGTATTTGTTCAGTTTGCGGGGGTGGGGGAAGGAGCCTCATCTCCAAACTATCCCCGATCAGGCTCCTGCTCCGCTCGCCGCCCAGCCGGGCGCCGCAGGGCCCGGGCACCATCGAAACACGCACCCGCCGGGGAGGCTACACGCCTCCTATCGCTCTCGTATTCGGGCACGGCGGCAGCCCCCAGCCCCGTTTAAAAGCCGTCCAGAAGCTACCCCTTCCCCCTGCGAGCGAATATAAACGGGCCCCGGGAAGGGAACACACGTCGTCCCCGCTCCCAGGCGCGCTGACTCCCGGCTGGATCCGGCGGCCGCGCCGCTGCTACTGAACGAGGCAGGAACAGCGCAGGGCCGCCGGGCCGGGATCTGCCCGCTCAGTATCATTCCGCAGGGCCTAGCTCCCCTCCCCCCCACACACAATAGACCCGGCCTCCCTCCCCCCCATATCCGGGGACTATATGCGGGAGCCGGCGGAGGCTTTTCGCCACCCCTAGGGGCCCAGTCTCGAACCCCAGGGCGCGTATCGAGCCTGTCCGGCCGCGCTAGTTACCTGACTCGGCACCGGCCTTGCTGTCCTCCCTGCTGGGTTTGGAAGGCCGCCCCCTCGGCATGGCTGCCCCCTCCCCCCGCACGCGCGTGCGCGCGCACTCACTCCCACCACACTGCAACGGCGGTGGCGGAGGAAGAGGCAGTTGGAAGGGTGGGGCAGGCGAGGAAAGAACGTACCGGCCCTATACGCAGAGATTGAGGCACTGTATGGAGATGCACGAGACAAGTGAAACACGCACGCGCGTGAACGGCGAGCGTGGGGAGGGAGGGAAATGCGCACGGCAAAGGCGCTTGCGCTTTACCCGCGCGAACGCAAAAGGTCTGAGGTCGCGAGGGAAAGAAAAGTGAGTCTAATGAAGGGCGGCGGCGCATGCGCCCTGCCCATGGTAATGGGAGGGGGTTATGCGCGTGCCCTCGCGAGCGGAGGGAGGGAGAGGTGAACGATGACGGATGGCTTTGCCTCTGTGACATCCGGGTACTGTGGAATTCTGAGAGCGGAGCGCAGTTCTATCGCAAAGCGGCAGCTGCTGGGTGGCGGGGTAGGGACAGAGGACCTGAGGCTCCGCGCCTGCAGAATGGGAGCTGGAGCTAGGGAGTGGCAGCATACACACACGTTACTCTTCCTTCGCTCCCCTTTGAGGCCGGCTCTGGAAATCATGACACTAGGGTAGCCAGTTTGGGTTGGACCTATTGCTGGAGTTTCCTCACAGGACATAATCTTTAAAAATTAATCTTTAATTCCTGGAGACTCCAGGACAAAATCCTTGAGGGTTGGTATTGCCACACATTACCCTGAGTGAGGGGTCCTCTTCCTCTCTCCATCACAAGTGGCTTAAAAACAAGGAGTTTTTTTGTTTTTATCCAGCAATGTTGGGCTCTTTTTCTTTGCCATCTGGGGTCTGAGAGCCTTTAAGGGGTGCAGGTGCTCCAGTTTTTCTCCACAACCCTGACAACTAGAAACTTAAATTAAAAAAATGAAAACAGTATCCCCATAATCCCTTGTCTGCAGGAGTTGGGGCTTTAAGAAAAATCTTACAGTGTGAGACTCACCCAGAAATCAAGTGGGCTGGCATCCCTGCAGTGTTTGGCTATTGTCTTCTGATCTTCAAATTCAGTGAGAAGTTGCCCCTGAAACATACACTTGCAGCTGCAGTGCACTTTGAACATCTGAGGGGAGAAGGATATAAAATGTACTCACAAACATTGGAGTCTGCCTGTGCCTCAGTGATGAGAGGGACATGGTCCCTTTTCTGCTTCTAAAATCCTCACAGTGTAGGGTTGCCAGTTTTGGTTGAATGTATTCCTGGTGGTTTCAACACAACAATCTTTAATTAAAAAGATGAATCTTTCATTCCTAGGGAATCCTGGACAATCCTGGAGGGTTGGCAACTCTAATCCCATGCCAGTTCCACTCTGAAAATATTTTTCCCCGGTACCTCCCTGTTTCCCAATGCTGCCCTAAATCGTACACTCCTGCCCACATATGGAATCCAGCAACCATGAGGGGCTTTCATAGCCCTTGAGATCAGACAGGACCATTAGATCATCTTGTCTGATTTTCTGTCTAATCCAAGCCATAGAATTTCACCCAGTTACCCCAGCATTGAGCTCAGCATTTGATTAAAGCATACCTTCCAGAAAGGTCTTGCTGGAGACCACACACACACCCCCAATCTCTTGGGTTTCAATAGTTAATCACCTTCACTATTAAAAATGTGTGCCTTATTTCTAATTTGAATTTGTTCCGCTTCTAACCTTTGGCTCTTGTTATACCCTTCTCCATTAGATTAAAGAGCCCTTTAGTACCCAAACTAAAGTTATATACTGTAATCAAGTTGCTTCTCAGTCTTCTTTTTGATAAACAGCTTGACTTCCTCAAGTCTTACTGTATGGCATTTTCTCTAGCCTTCAAATAATCTCAGGCTCTTTTCTGCACCCTCTCCAATTTTTAATATCCTTTTTAAATTATGAACACCAGAAGTGTATGCAGTATCCAGTATCAGTCTCACCAATTCCATATATAGTGGTAAATCCACCTCCCTGCTAATCACTAATTTTCACATCCAAGGACTGCATTAGCCCTTTTTGTCATTCCATTGCACGAGGAGCTCATGTTTAGAGTCCTGCATGGATACAAAATGAGTGTCTGCATCCGATCTGCAAACATGGTCCACGGATGCGGATATAAAGCAGATATCCACAGATTTGCAGTACTCTACTCATGTTGAGTTGCTTATCTACTGTGTCCCCTAAATCTTTTTCAGAGTCACTGCTTTCCAAGAATCGGATAGTCACCCATTCTGTAGAGATGGTCTGCCTTCCTTGTTCCTACATTTGGCTATATTAAAACTCATTTTATTTGAATGTATGCCTTTATCAAGCAACCCAGATTGTTCTGTATGACTGCTTTGTCCTCATGATTATTTACCATTCCACCAATCTTTGTGTCAGATACCAATTTTAACATTTTTTATATTTACTTCCATATCATTGGTGAAATGTTGAATAGTGTCAGGCCAACTACCAATTCCTGCAGATCCCCGCACCCATTCAGTGATGGTTCCTCATTGCCCATGATTTTTTGAAGTCTGTCCATTAGCCAGTTCTTAATCTATTTAAAATAGTTCCATACAATAACAATGAAGCCTATTTTTAACCAGAATGGGATGTAGTACTAAGTAAAGCACCTTACAGAACTCTAATTATATTACATCTAGACTGTTGCCTTTATCAACAAAATTTGTAACCTCAAAGAATGAAATCAGATTTGTCTGAATGTAATTAGGGCTTCTTTCCAGCAGGCTGAGTTTGCAATGCACACACTTAGTTCCTTCTCTTCCCCCGCTCTGCCAATAAATCACATTTGGTGTTTAGCCCACCCCAGCTTGGTGGAATGAGGGAGAAGGGTTGGAGTTGTTGCTACCCTTGCATTGGATGTCTCTGGGTTGATTCCTTGCAGCTGCCCACTCTACACATAAGAAAGGCACAGAGCAGCAGTGGCCTCTAGTGGCTGTAGAGTAGAACTGTGCTGATGTTGCTAATATTTGCAGCAGTAAACTACAACCACATACATCAGCCAGTGTTAGGGCAGCTGTTTACAACAAGCATCTGCTAACTGGATTGCGAAAAAATGCAAGAGGTGACAACTCTGATGTCAGTAGCCAAAGCCCACTCCATATGTTCATTACCCGGAAGCTATTAGCTTATCATATCTTGCCATAGATCCCTTTTGAAAACAATTGCACTTCTCTTTTGGTTGTTTTCAAACGGCTCAGGCTCAGGTGGAGGGATAGCTCAGTGTTTTCAGCATAGGCCTGCTAAACCCAGGGTTGTGAGTTCAGTGCTTAAGGGGGCCATTTAGGGAACTGGGGTAAACATCTGTCTAGGGATTGGTCCTGCTTTGACCAGGGGGTTGGACTAGATGACCTCCTGAGGTCCCTTCCAACCCTCATATGCTATGATTCTAAGCTCTTTCTCATGGGATAATATAAGATACTGCAACATTTTGGCTTTATTACTTCCTCCACATATGCATAGTCTGTAGCCAAGGGGTCAGGGAGCCCCAGCAAGTGCACCCTGGCTCTTGAACTTCTGAAGGTTGTATATGGCTTGGAGGCTCAGTAAGTTTAGCCACCCCTGACATATACATTTACCTGAGTGGGAATTACACCTCCTAGCTGCCATGTAGATATACCTTACGACATTATAGTATGCCTAGATATAAGGTAAACACCCCCTCCTAGGAAACTATCTATTGTAACACAGGCTGTGAGAACAGAATGGTTTAAAAGAAAATTTGCTTTTAAATATACTAATGAACTCCATGTGGTTGCATTGGCAGCAGAAACTTGTTAAAGGCTGCAAACTGCAGGCCTGAGCCTATACCAATGAAGTCTATAGGAGTGTTTTTTTCCTCCATAGACTTCAATGGGAGCAGGATCACAATCCTCTATCCTCAGTGCACTATGCATGAAAGTTGGACGGGAACTGGATTATTGCTACATTATTCTACCATGGAGGAGTGGAAGATACTTGCTAGCTAAGGTGGGCTAATTATCTGCAAATTTTAAGCAGAAAGCTCTTAATGCACAGTATTATTTAGATAGGTAGTTGAGTTATTTTAAATTACAGAAATCATTTTCTAAATGATTGAGATATACTGTGACTGAGACTATCACACCCACAACATAAAGTGATGTAGCTGAGATCACTGTAAGAAATCTAAAGATGACTCTTTTAGAAGTGTTTCTTTAAAACAGTAGGAAACATTTTCTCCTTTTTAGAAAAGTCAGACATCATTAATTTTCTTTTAAAAATCAAACAAACCTGAAACTTTACAATTGAACATAGTTTCTTCACCTTGAATTTTGCACCAAGTAGTATGGTATATTAAATAAAGTTTTACATTTCTGTGGTGTTTTTCATATGAAAGCAATTTAACTGCTATATACATAATGCATATGAAATGCAGCCAGCCTGGGAATGGAGTATAGCTTGGGAATTCAGATATTACACGGTAAAGCAGCACTCCGGGGGGGTGGGGGGGGCGCTGCGTGCTCCGGCAGATCAAAGCAAGTTTGATATAATTCAGTTTCACCTATAACGTGGTAAGATTTTTTGGCTCCCGAGGACAGCGTTATATCAGGGTAGAGGTGTAGTAAGTTTTTGCCAAACCATGTAAGAAAACTTAGTAGAAATCCATTTTCTTTTCTAATAATTTTAAAGGATAAAAATCAATGCTTATGTTAAAGCATGCTTTTCTATGTTACCTATTTGAATTTTCATGGTTGCAGGAAATTATAGGAGTCAGGGTCAGACAATTATTAAATGACAGGAGACATTGACATTAAAAAAGTTAAATCTCTATAACCACTAAAATACAGATTGTAAATTTTGACACATAATGTTGACAAAGTATTTATATCCTTAAATCAAACTAATAAGTTCTCAAACAATATTTCTTATTTGCCCATCTGTAAATTTAAATTATTATTGATGGAAATATTTTTGTCAATCTGTGAGTGGGTGTGCACAATGAAATCAAGGTTTATCAACATGTACTGATAAATATCTAATTGTTCTAAGCCTACATGTAGGACTTACAGTATTTCAGATGTTGTACGATTTCTTTTCTCCTCAAAAGAGAA